AGAAATCTTAGAAGTGTGACAGGCATTAAATTCAGTCCGCAGTCTGATACTGTTACATTTGTTTTTTAACACATAGGGATGCCATATATTTAGTCCATACATTTATCAACCAACAGTAAAATAATAGGGTTTTATCCATCAAAACTTGTTTTTCTTTCATCAAAATGTAATGCATAGAATTTAAAAACCTTTTTGCGGCAAAAATCTACAAATTCACCAGAGTTTCCGGTTGCTCTGTCAGGTGTGTTTGTTTTCAGCTCCATGTTAGCTTCCTACCAAAGCAAATCCCACATTTTTAAGTCAAATGAGTTTTCCTTTATTAATCTATTGAGTAAAACAGATTTTGCACAGCCTATGTTGCATGCCTACTTCTCTTCTCACTAGCCGTACGCTCTGACACAGCAAGTTTCCGAAGTATTCATCTTTGGCCTTATATGTTTGTCGTCTTTAATGTGTGTCTGACACTTGATTAAGAGATATTGGCTCCTACTATGGATATTACGACCTTACATTTATTCCCTACATAAAAAAGTAAAAAATTAACTGCCTACAAAATAAGAAAATGTGTGTTTTTTTAATGGTTCAATAAATAATAAATGCATAAATCAGGATATGCCACATTTCAACAGATAAATGTGCCAAGTGAATCTATTTCAAACAAAAAGACCTGTAGATTGATACAGAATGTTGCACACATACTTTCAACTAGAGGAACAAGTGTAGTAAATGCATGCTATGATGTATGCCCTACCAGTGGCATATTTTTCTGAGAAAACAAATATTTTAACTGGTATGGTCAACGTTGTGTAACAGTCACAGTGTTCAGATTTTTACCAGCAACAACTCGACGGCTTGCACTTTAAAATCCATCCATTTGCAAGCATGTAGGATGTAAGAAACACTTTTAAAAAGCAATGCTATTTGGATATGCCTTAATTTTGTGCACTACTTAAAATTAGGTAGTTGGTAAGGAGTTAATTCTGCAACATTTAGCCTAAAACCGCATTAGTACTGCTTTCTACGAGTCAAAACGAAGATATGTAGTTGATTTTTCCTATTGGTTAAAACAGTATGTCTACGGCCCAGCCATGTTTTCGGATTAAATAGTACATTCGATTTACCTCTGAACTTCCAACTAGATGATATTCCCCCAGTTCCCTACCTGTGGAATGCGAGTGTTCTCCATTATTTGTATGTGGCCTCTAAGGCCCTGCATACGGGGATTCTGTTTAGGTTGAACAACCTCTAAAAAAAACTGTTTCACTGGATTGTATATAGGAGTAACACTATAATCGAGGATGAATACAAATGCTTGCTACACTTTTTAGATGGTAAGCATTTCCTTGTACTTTACAGCTATACAATGCTTTCTCTTTGCCGATTGTATGAAAGTTCAATTAAAGTTGAGGGTTGTGACAAAATGTGTAAAGGTTCCTTGTGTTACTGAATATAAGTGTAGGAGATCATTGAATGCTTTATTAAGTCGTTCATGTTTGGGTTTTTGATGCAGAGCCTTGTTTGGTTCCTATTTGTTTTCCTCATTCATGCATTTCCTGCCTAAAATGGAAGTCTGTATTCTCCTGCTCCTTTTATCCGTTGTATGAAAAGGAAGCAAAACCTGGAGCCTTTTGTTTTCGCCTTCCCCTCTTTTTCCGCTTTAGGTCTTAACAGAGTGAACATGTACCACATACAATGAAATGCACTCATGTGCAGCGGTCCACTGATGAGAACAACCTTCCAGAGCATGAATGTGTTTAGTCTGTACCGTGTTTTGTTTTCAGAGCTTTGACTGGCCAGCACTCCTTCCATGGCTGGCCATGGAAAGGCCATTGACTTTATCTCCAAGGTCTTTCTCCTGCTTTCCTTGACTCAGGAGTACATTTTAGTAACATTTCAGTAACCAGAATGCAACACGCTTCTTACCTCACCTGCTTTGTTAGTCCAAAAATATCCTCATAGCTTTGCAAGGTACTCCGAACTTGGAAAGTAGGTTGCAACAGAAGGCCATTGTGTCCAAGCCAAAACACAAGAGCACAAACTACAGTTTGATTTTAATTAGACACGACAGTGATGATGAACGATTCTGTTGTTTTTATTGTTGCTTCATTTTGCTTGTTTAAAAACAGTCAATGAATAATTTCCATTAAGGATTTAGAGATTAATCACTTAATCAAAACAAAAGCTATGATTATGGTGGAAAACTACTGCAACAGTTTTGAGCATGTGCACTTTTTTCTCTATCTTTGTGGCGTTAGAGGAGAGCCTTGATTCATAACATGATACGCTGTCATTTCTAATGATAATTATATATTATATTATGCTTTGACATAACTACATAAACATCTGTGCCTTGATTGTTCGATATGTTCATCGGACCAAAGATAGTCCTCTAATTTAAAGATGCACCTATCAGTGAACCAAAGATAAAACCTTAAAAACAAAAACTTGCCATTGTAGTATCAAGAGTATAAAAACCTAGAGCACTCCTGCACTTCACTAAAGGACTGATTACTGTAAGTAGGTTTCTCACAATACTCAAATTTCAAACCTGATTCTGGTACCAATCATTTATTTTTAATACAGCAACACAATTTTTTTCAAGGCAATGTTATTTCTGGTTAGGAGCAAAAATAAATATTAATTCAAAGTGATAATAAAATACACTTAAATTGTCCTGATTATTGCAAAATCAATAATCAGGATAATTTTATTTACTCTGATGGAGTAAAATGGACAGAAATAAAAGCAATAACAAATAAATCCCTAAAAGGTTGCTTTTATTTATCTTGAATTATTAAGAATAATCTGTGTAAAATGGAGGAAAAAATATAAAAGTCAATGAAATTCTAACATTTTGGACACTATTTATATTTTTATGTTTAATTCTGTCCCTTTTGGTCATCCTTAGAAACAGTAAACCTTAAGTCCCATTTACACTGCCTTTTTAATACCGTGCCGAGAACGGCCTGAGCTCGGTAACCGAGATATCTGTTGAGTGTAACTATAACAATTGAATTTTATTGATCTCACATTAGAGAAATTAATCTCTGCATTTAATCCTTCCCCTTGGGGAGCAGTGGGCTGCTATCATGGGGCCCCCCGGGGAGCAGCGTTGGGTTAAGGGTCTTGCTCAGAGACCCAGAGTGGCAGTCTGTGGGAGTGGGGTTCAAACTCCACTCTGAACCCCAGGATTCCTAGCTCTATGCCCTATCCTCTAGGCCACCACTCCCACCATGGCACCCAATGCTGAACTGGACCGTGTCAGACACAATCGAAACACGGTGGTACTAGTTCATCATTAGGGCTCGGCACGGTTCAGTTCTGGCACAGTTCTCAGATAACAAAGAGTGCATGTGCAGACCACCTCATCTCCTTACAGTCAGCCACCGTAATCATGAAATTTCAGGCATTCATAAAAATACTAGCTTCCGTACCATGATTTTCAGTAATGATGCTTAAGCAGTGTGATGAACCTCAACTCCTGTCGTTGTTTCCTGCGTCTATAAGTCCAGATTAGACTATCGTTTGTCGTATTCACTTCCCAAAAGCCGACTCTGTCAAGTAACTTCACCAAAGGCTGCCTTCGTCACCTGACTCCCCGCAAACAACGAACTATCACAATAACAAAACTTCTTGAATGTTACTGACGCCGCCATGTTGATTTGTTTGTTTACCTCTAGAGAGCAGTAGTACCGAAGTTCCTCACTAGGAGGCGAGGAACCTTGCTAGCAGTCTGTAAACGGTGGCATGGTTAACTGATCCAAACTCGGCACAGTTCGGTTTTCAAAGGGTAGTGTAAATGGGGCTTTAATGTCAGTCAAACAAATATTTGATATTTTTTTACATTTTCTTATGCTCAATGTACTATTGTGTTCTTTCATTTGCCTGTCAACTTGCTAATAATGATAATAACATATAATAATAATAGGTATGATCAACTCTGGTCAATGCAGATGTATTCAGAAGCAGCCCTGTACAATTGCTGTCTTTCAAGTCATTTTCTTTGGTAAATAAGTAGGGGGGTATGTTGCTTTTTTATGCTTTAATTGTTAGCTTCATCCTAGCACCTACTTCTCCTCCATAGTCCATTCTTGAGCCTGGGGCCAGGGTGGGGGCCCCCTCACTGATCCAATGGTGTGTTATGGTTCAGAGGTAGAATGCAGGGATCAGGTTGCCACCCCTTTAAGCATGTGTTGCTTTTAGACTGTGTTTTCAATTGAAACCACATGCCTCCAGGAGATATTTATGATTATAATAGATTGAATATCCTTGCCTTATTAATTGTAACTGCCAATACTTCACATACAGTATATCTAGACAGTTGATCCCCCTGTCCTTTTTTTTTTTTACCCAAATATACAAAGATTGCACTTTGCTTTGTAGCAATCAAGTTTATATATATGTGTCAGTTTAATTTATAAAAGCTGGAAATAACTTAGTTTTGCCTCTTAGGATAGAAAAGAAAAGAGTAAAACAGTCGACCTCTGCCTGTTGTTTTTACTGCGGCTTTCTGGGATCCCCAGTCTCAGAAATATGCCTTTGAGGCCTGTTTATTTTCCTGACCCAAGCATTTTTCAGCCTTTTAACCCCCACATTCGCTACAAATACACATTCTGCTAAGGTATTTACTCAGGGCATTAGCTGACCTTCTTGCGTCTTGCCCAAACACTTCATCAGGAAGCAGCAGTACCCCCCCATGACTGGCCTGGTGCCACTGCATTGTTATGGTTAAGCCTTGGTGTAAGTCTACACTCTACGGACTGAGGGCAGTCACTGTAACACTGCAAAGACTTCAACACTCTGCAGGAACCCAGGCCTGATTCAATAAAAGAAGCTTTCAATTTCAGCTTCCTGCAATCTTATCTTCTATTACTGTTAAAAAAACTTTTCATTAACAAGTCATGTATGCCTCCGGCATCTGCATGCCTTTGTACAGTGCTTGATTCGGTTTCTGTTTTTTGTGTGTTTGTGATTAAAATACAACTCATGCCTCTCCTCAGGTTTTCCAGGACCTTGGCATGTCAGTGCTGGCTGGAGCATCTGAGGGCTACAATGTGTGCCTGTTTGCTTACGGCCAAACAGGATCTGGAAAGACATATACCATGATGGGGACAGCGGTGAGGATCGTGCTATAAATGTTGCATTATTGTTGGAATGATTTGTGCTTTAATTAACACAAAAAAAAAAAACTTCATGAAGCAGAAAACAGTCATAGACTGAAGACATGTCTAATCCAGTCGGATATATGTTTTCATCCATGAAAAGTCTTTATGTTCTTTTTTCTTGGTTCTGCAGGAGTCCACTGGCTTGACGCCTCGCATTTGTCAGGTAGGATAGATCATTAAAGCAGGCAGCAATATAAATGAAATGGTTAATTTGCCTTTTGAGTTGACAGTTTACTGATTTTGGGTAATTTTCTGCGCCTAATTCCTTCCCAGGGTCTCTTCTGTCCTGAAGTTTTGTTCTCTGATGGACAAAACTCAAGCAGAGTTGAAATCAGGTGGGTTAGTGCAGTTTTATTTGAGCTTTGACCTCAAACCTGATAAATAAAAATATATTGTTTGCTTTTGACTTAGTTGAATGTATAGAAGTTTATAGGCAAATGGTTCTTATTATAAGGAACCAGTTCTTAATGGAGTCAGTAAAAGGCAACAGGACTTCCTCTCTTTTCTTGAGGAGGTTTTTCCTCTCATCATTAAAGTGTCTTCAGTTGTAGAGAAAAAAGAGGTAGTGAAGAAGCATTTCAGATGAGTGACTGAGTTGCAGTTTACTATCACAGCATGGCAGCCTGTCTGAGCATCTGACATTCGATAAAAACAGCAAGTGAAGGTTAGAAAATACAGAGGGTGTCTGGCAAATACATTAGAAAGCCCTTGTGGAAGTTTAGCAGGGGTCACATTTGGATTTTGGATGAGATCAAACGGTTCTTTCCTGCAGTTGCTTTGCAATATATTGGTGGGAAACCGTGATGTTAGAAAAAATGATATTGGATGGTTTTGAATTGAAACCTGTTGCTAAATCCTTTCAGTTTTAGCAAAGTTTGAATGTACATCAAATGATCCATGTTTGAAATTGTTTTGATTCCGTTTTTCTGTTCTGTAGCTTTTTAGAGATCTACAATGAACGTGTCAGAGACCTGCTGAGAGGAGGAGAGCAGAAGAGGAGAACTTCCCTTCGAGTTAGAGAGCATCCTGATAAAGGACCTTATGTTGAAGGTATTTCTGCTTTAATCTGTGAAATGTTTCAGCAAAGGTTTCCTATGCACCTCCTAAGGCTACGCTCAATTTTAACAGTGTTCTTCTTGAGCAAGAGATTAATTTATAATGTGATGCTTAACCCCTAAACCCCATGCTGCTACAAAGCTAGAAGATATTTTATTTATCTGTTGGACTCAATATCCCTATGGCTAAAAATAAAGGTTCTACAGCCTTTTATAATTTAAGTAGAAGGTGTTATTTTTACTGATAAATATCTGCTAAAAAAGGGCCTTTGTAAGTTTTAGATGATAAAGCTGTAGTTGTATCTTGTTAATTTCTCAGTTTTATTTTTAGATATATATCAGTAGCTTAATTCCTAATATATTATTTTAGCTCTCCCTAGCGTTTCTTTCTAATTAAACACTTGTTTACTTTCCAAACCCGCTGTTTGTGTTTAAAACCCAACATCCACTCATTGTCTCGGTCAGGAGAAATCCCAGTCGTCCACAGGAAGTGAACTCATTTCCTCGTGTTTCCAAGCAGAGCTGAGGGCTTCATCTCACATGCAGACTTGCACTTAAATGCAGCATCAAGAGTTAGCTAGTCTTAATAAAATATGTGGGAAGCCTAATAGTGGTCTCCTCCTGGTGGAGGTACTCATATTGATTTTTTTATCTTTCATTCCCACAGTTAAATTCTCTAAACATTAACACTGTCCAAATAAACAGTTTTACAAAATATTTCCCAGGATACTAAGCTTTCAACAAGGTACCCAAATGTTAAAGAGGTATCAGGTGTATAAAAGGAGCCTGGTTCTGTTGAAAAAGGGTGATTAATACGTCTCATGTCAATGTTTTCTCTGTCAGATCTTTCACAGCACCTTGTCACTGACTGCAAACAGGCCCTAGACCTCTTGGACGAAGGCGTCGCTAACCGCATGACGGCTGCAACCCACAACCATGACGCCAGCAGCAGATCCCACGCCATCTTCACTATTCAGTACACACAGGTTGGTATATAACCCGCTTATATAAAGTCGCATCTTCTCTGGGTCTACAACTGCAGTGATTATTGTAGAGTTTTTACCAACTTTTGTAGATCTCTGGCTGCAGATTGAGCTGATTCTCTTTTCTCTACAGGCAATACTAGAAAATAACCTCCCTTCAGAAACTGTAAGCAAGATTAACCTGGTGGACTTGGCTGGAAGGTGAATCTCCTCCCCTCCTGTGAAAGCATAACTAAGGCCACCCCCTGGTGGACGTTAATAATTGCCCCTATATTATCCAAACAAGGGTAGTGTTAATAGTGATTTGTTGTGTGTTTTATGTCTGACAGTGAGAGAGCTGATCCCCAGTACTGCAGGGACAGACTGACAGAGGGATCCAACATTAATAAGTCGCTGGTCACTTTGGGCATTGTCATCTCTGCTCTCGGTAAATAAAATTATGGCTACATTTTTTTTTAGGATTTGGTCATGAAGGGTCTAAAAAATCAGAATAGATACCTCAATGTTCATCTTTTCTGATATTTTCTATTACCACTCAAACACATCACACATGGTTTTTAATATTTAACAAAAATTAAAAATGTAAAAGTGCTCCATAGATTCGTATTAAAGAGTGATGAGTCTGTACTGTGTCTACTTTCAATATTTAGACAAAATATTTGGTCAGGTCTTTGCAAAATCGCTTAAGGTCAGTTAAACTGGACCTTAGATAACTTTATTCTTTTGATCAACAGGGTTCCTGCAGGTCCTTAAAAAGTCTTAAAAGGCATTGAATTCTTCAAAATAAAACTAAGGCCTTAATTGGTATTAAAATGTCTTAGATCAGTCTTTCGTAGGTCTTATTTTTTAAAACATCATAAATAGGATTATTTTTATTACGATTATTTTTATAATCTAAATAAAACGTTAAAATTGAAAATATTTTTCTTTTATTTAAAAAAAAAAAAAAACGGCCCGCCATTATTGGTTCCGTCCCGATAGCGGAACCAATAAAAGCGTTGTTGCGGCCGGGACATTTGGGAGATGCTTCATTAACTTTTTGTCTGGAAAGCATGAGCAAGTGTAAATGTAACCAAAATTGTCTCCAGCCAAGAGTTTTCTCCATGGCTAAAACCAGGAACATACATGAGGCTCAGTGGATTTAGTGCAAGAAGTCATTCAAGCTCGGAACGATGGGAATTAAGGCAGTGGAGTCGCACATGCGAAGCGCAAAACACAAAGCATCAAAATGGAGTTACCGAGAAACAGCCGGTATTTCTCGGTTTAGTTCCACCCTTGTCTCTGCAACGCCTCCACTTATCACCAAATCAAACATACTAAGAAAACCATACAAAGAAAAATAGCTGCAAAAAAGACTTAGCACTGGTTATGTTGTGGCTTTAAAACTGATTTGATTTGTTCCCTGCTAAAACAAAGTTTGTGAATTCAGTTAAATAATTGTTAAAATATATCTGTCATTTGTGTGTTTTTAGCTTTCTTCCTGTATGGGAAGCTTTTCAAAATTTGAAACAGTGCAGTGGTTTATGTTAAATTAAACCTTTGGGTTAAGTTGTCGCAAGCAGGTTTTTTTTGTGTTTCTTGTAAATTTGGTCTTAAATTTTTATTTCATGTGGCATTAAAAATTCTTTAAAAGTCTTGAATTTGACTTGCCGTATGCTGTAGAAACCCTGATCAAAGTCTGGAGTTTAATTTGTCCTTTCTAACTCATTAATATTTGCTCACACCTAAAGATAAAAGAGCATGTCCTACAGAAGGGACTAAAATGCAGTTTGTTGCAATGCTTATAGAGCGTATCCATAAAAAGATTTGAATAGAAATTCATGTTGCACTAATAAGATTAAATCCAAATGTATTTAATACAAATCTTCCATTCAATCTGTTGCTGTAGAATCGGTGTGTTTACCTATGGAGGGACCAGAGTTTTTATTTAGGTTAACCATCCTCTCCTCTTTCACATTCTCTGCCCATCCTTCCGTCTTTTTACTTCGGCTGCCACAGCCCAGAACTCCCAGATGTCAAGCAGCTGTCAGAGCATCAACAGCGTGGCCTCCGAGGGTGACAGCAGCACGTTGGGAAGTCACAGCAGCTCCCTGTCTGGAGGAGGAGGAGGAGGAGGAGGGAGGCGGCATTGCTTCATTCCCTACAGAGACTCAGTCCTCACTTGGCTATTGAAGGACAGTCTAGGTGGCAACTCCAAGACCATAATGATTGCAAGTAGGTGTTGCTTTTTAGATTCGAGCTGAGCGGTTGCTCATGTTTATGTATGGAGGCAACCAGCTGACGGGACTAAATAGCATCACTTTTATGCTGATTTTTATGGGGCTGCTGAAGAAACAGTGTTCTTAACTTATGTTAGATGTTTTTATTCTGTTTTTTTCTGTATGTTGCAGCGGTCTCGCCTTCTGCTAACAGCTACAATGAAACCCTGAGCACCCTGCGCTATGCCGCTCATGCCAGAAACATCGTCAACAAGCCTCGTGTTAATGAGGTCAGTGGCTCTTCCGCTTAACAAAAGTTAATTCAGCATTTCTCCTTAAAACCTTAAATTGTATGTGTTCCCCTAGAACTGAAGATAGAAGACAATTTTTAGTTGAAGTATACATTTAATTGACTTATATTATTTTCTGTTTTTGATGTTTTGATTTTAAGAAGTTTGATCAACACTTTTTGTTTTTAAGCCTTTTTTTTGCTCAAACAATAACTTAGATGTATAATTTGTCCATTTTATAATTCTTTATATTAAAAAAACTCTTTTCAGTTATTCAGTTTTATAGATATTTACAGTATAGATGTTTTGATTAATTGAGTATGACTTCTAGGGACTCTGACTGAAGTGAGTAGCTGTACCCAGCAGTGGGAAGAAAGAACTGTTGTCATATTCTCTGTACCACCAACAGTTGCCAATTTAAAGTGTATAGTGAGGCTGGTGAGCAGCCCAGTGTAAAACATGCTCGCTCAACACATGTCTGGCACACGTTAAGCTTTGACAAACTCTACTCTGCCTGCAAACCTTTGAAATAATTGGTCTCAAAGCAAAGCAGTAAGCATGTGTCATCCTGTCTGAAATGCCCATTAGCATCAACTTTGACCTCTGCTGTTTCTGCTCTTCATAATCTGAGTGTAAAAGAACTATGCAACCAACCAGAGGTGCCAAGTGACAAAGTACAAATACTTTGTTACCTTACTGAAGTAGAAATTTTGGCTATTTATTCTTTACTGAAGGCATTATTTTTTTACTTCTAATCCTCACATAAAAAAAAAAATATCTTGACTTTCTACTCCTTACATTTGAAAAAGTTTTGTTTTGTTTATCCCATTCTCATCATGGCCTCTTATTATTTAAAAAAATAAAAGCAATCATAATCATTTTTGTCATCCAGACATTAAATTTCTTTGTGGTCAGACTCGGTTCTGCACCAATTTATTGTTCACCACATACCAAAATAAATAACTTGAAACTGTTAGCATTAGTTATAAAACTAAGAAAATTAAGTTTAAGGAAGTTATCTTCTAGAATTGTAAAAAAAAATGTTCCTTTCATAGGGTAGTGCAGTAAAGCAGCTGTCCTTAACATTTTTTCATGCATTACTTTTACTTTTATACTTTAGGTAGTTTTAAAAATAGTACTTTTACTTAAGTAAAAAGCTTAAGTTGATACTCTGGACTTCTGCAAAAGTGTTTAAACAGTAGGATTTATCATTTTATACACATCTGCAACCGACCAAGTAACAACAATGTTTTTTTCTAATTTTCAGATTATTTTCTTCCAGCTCCTGATGGGTAGCCTAATGCTAAACTTGCTTTAATTTCTTCCAAAGTGTTAGGGTTAGGGTCCTCCTAACTCTAACCCAAATAAATATTTTATATTTTTTTTAACATCGAGTTCTAGATTTCGATCTAGATACACAGACATAAATAACCCTTCTTTCATAATTACTCTATTTCTATTTAGTCAATTAAATAAATGTTCCCTTCTATTTTCATTTAAAACATTTTGTTTTCATTTTCTTTTATATTGTAGATATTTGTTTCCTTTTTTTAAATGAATCCATTTAAATCTTCATATAGATTCTGTGTAATTTGAATTATCGGTGCATATGAGGTGATTCATAAATGTTACCGAGTGTCACGAAAGCAACCCTGAAATAGTAACATTTTGTTTTTTTCATCCAGGATTAAAATAACTGCTAATATTGTTCTTTCTTTCTATCACTGGCAGTCAAGCATAATCACTATCCTGTAACTTTGCTTAATAATAATTAGGATTACAGTGCTCTGGATTGGAGCTTTTAAATGAAATGGTATAAAATCATCTTCTGGGGCGGCATGTCTGATTCCTTATTGCTTCCCACTAGATACAAGATAGAAAATGTATGTTTGCTTCACATCTATTAATGTGACCAAATTTAAAGACAGTTCTACAATCTTATGCTGGTCAACATTGGTTGCTCTGTTATATTATGTTAAGCTAAACGCTTTGATTTATTCTGGCAGTTAAATTGAACTTTTTTGAGGATTTGGCTTTCATTTTTGTGCAGGATGCAAATGTTCGGCTCATTCGGGAGCTGAGAGAGGAGATCGACAGGCTGAAGAGCATGCTGCTCAGCTTTGAGTTGGTATGTTAATATTTTGCCGCTGCTATAACACCCACTTGAGTTAATTCCTTTAAAAAAAACACATTATTCTGTTTAACTAAAAGTGTTCCCCTAAGTTACAGTTTTCTAGTCTGATCAATAATGTGCTACATTTGCATTTGTACGATTCTTTCATTCTTCTGTGGTAAAGCCTATATAATTAGCATTTTTTTTTAATCATGAACAGTGTTTACAGTTTTTTTTTATTCCACATGGAATCAACAGCAACGTAATCCCAGTCCATCCTTGAGCGATGAGAGGGAAGGAAACCTTTCGGAAATTGTGCTACAGAATGAGCTGAAGGTAGTGAGGAAGCAAGAAAACCAACTTACATCTATCTATCGCTCTAATTCAAGCCTTTTATACACTTTAGTGAGGGTCTCTGTCCAACTGTTTATTTGTTCTTCCTGTCAGGTGGAGCAGCTCACACAGGACTGGTCAGAGTCCTGGAGGGACAAGAAGGAGCTGCTGGAGCAATACAACGTGGACATCAACAGAGACAGGGCCGGTTTCCTCATCAACTCCCTTCAGCCTCACCTGGTTTCGCTGGACAGAGATGTTCTCAGCACCGGAGTTATTTTCTATCACCTCAGGGTATGACGATAAGAAAAGAAACCTTTATATGTGTAATGTCCTTATGGATCTGCTCTACTTTTTTTTCTACATCTCAAGGTCTTTTCTTTTATCAGCTTTCCTGACTCAAATCTTCTCCCTTTTTCTATTCAGACTCCTCTTCTTCAGCTTATTCTGATATATGTCTCTGCTAAAAAACTCTTGACTAAAGGTGCGTTCTCATGTCTTCCCTCTGTTCTATCACTCCTCCCACCCAAAACTCTTAGCACGTGTCACATGTCTCTGCAGCCGTGCACAAAGCTTGGTTGGATCAGACACTCTTAGGCTCTGAGACATGGACTCAGGGGAGCTTAAACTGTCCAGATTCTGACATTGACAAGCATATCCTCAGGGTTGACAACTATACTATTTCATGCACGTGATAAGATAAGGCCTGGAAGCTCATGTGGTTCTGAAATCATACTAGAAAAACCTCTAAGGTTTTTGATAAAACAAAAAAGTAAACAATTCAGTGTAAGATTAAAATGGAATACACCTCCTGGTAAGGCACTTATTTTCTCAGTCCTCTTGCCAGAAACACAACAGTGTAACAGCTCTGTTTAGAGAGCAATGTGTCATTGGTGGAGTGTATATCCTAGAACAAAAAGTAAAGAAATGTCAGATTCCAAATATGCTGTGCAGATGTTTTTTTCATTACAGCTGTTGAGATTCAATGTGAAAGTTAAAGGAAATTTAAATAGAGATAGAGCTAATGCAGAGTTAGAATATTACATATAATCCCCATAAAATACTGTAAATTAAGGTCTGTGTTTGCCAATGACAAAAAAATTTGTAAAATATTCATAATAATACATTATTAAATGAGACTATTGCAAAAGATATTACTGCATATATCAAAATAAGAATATCTCCATTGAGAATTCCTGTTTATGGGTGTAGTTATTCCTAAAACAATATTGAAGATTATATTTAGGTCAGTAGTTGCCATATACACCACATGCAATTGCATGCATTCAAGTTTTTTTTCTCCCAGTTTTCTTTGCCTTTTTAAAGAAACTGCTTCTCATGTTAATTTGTTTTTTTTTACAGGAAGGAATTACCCGCATTGGACCACAGGAGCATTTTGAAGAACCACATATAGGTACATTTTTATTAAGATACATAGAGAAAATAATACTCGTAAAGTGTACAAATTACCCAAATAGCAAATAACATATTCGCTTCTCATTTTTAATCCAACACGTTCAGTTATCTTGATCTTATATGTTTGCTGATTTTGTGGAGCCTTGCAGAAATAAGCACAGCTTTCTATCTCAGAATGTATGAAGCCATCTCCGATTCCTGTTTGTAGTCCTTCAAGGCAGCTCCCGCTGTGAGATTGAAAACCACGGGGGGGTGGTAACACTCCGACCGCTGCCGGGCTGCGTCTGCCTGCTCAACGACAGAGAGGTCACTGAACCCTGTAGACTGGCTCAAGGTCAGTTTCTGTCCTTTAGAAAATGTTTGATCGCAATGCCTGTGTCCACATGGGACGTTGTGTATTTTTAACTGCCGTAGTGATAACAGTTATGTTCTAGAACTGAACATAAGATGGGAAGTAATGTAAAATTATCCCTGTAAACATTATCATGATAACACGTCAGGTTCTAAGGACATCATGTGGAGGAAAGAGCATGCAAACACCCAGAACCTGCAGCAGACATCCACATCTGTGTCCTTAGCTTGCATCCACACATTGCATCAAGCTGAGCGCAGCATGTTATAAAGAATACCTCTTTGCCTCTCTAGGGACTGTGATTACCTTGGGAGGAGTGCATAAATTCCGCTTCAACCACCCGGCAGAGGCAGCAATCCTTCGGGAGCGAAGACGGGTAGGCACTGCTCCCCTAAGCGTTGACATCTCCTTTGTGATAAGCTGCAAACAATATGAAAATCTAGCTCATTCAGTCTTTTTAATTAAAGCAGCTTTTCTTTTTGCTGTTTTCTTTAGGTCAGTGAAGGCATTATGACGTGCACCTATGCTGATTTTTGTCTCCCTACTCCTGACAATGAGTGAGTATCATCCCCAAACATAAATTAATAACTGTTATCTCTGCATTTAGATTGCACAAATAGGCCAATGTTTCATGCTCCTGTTGGGTTGGTTTCATCAGCCCAAACATATCAACCTGTCTCTGGTTGCTGTTTACAGTTCAGCCTCGGGAGTTGCTTAGTTACTGCTGACGGCAGCTTTTAGTTCAAACCCTCAACACAATCCGAGAACCATGTTCTATCCTTTGTGTCAAATCTGTAAAGTAAAATATTGTCCTTTCTTTTCTCATTTCTTGTGTCCTGATTCTGTTTTGTAGTGTCAAAGAATTAAAGCTGGATCCGTGTGAGGAGCTTACAGCGAGGGGACGTGTAGAGGAGCAGAAGCGCTATGTGGAGAGTTTGCGACGGGAGATTCAGGCTGAGCAGAGAAGGGCAGAAGGGGAGCTGGAAAGGGAGCAGGCTCAGCTCCACCAGCAGTACTCTGAGAGTAAGGATTTTACTACTGTTATATATTTCATATATAAATATCATTTCTTAAGCCAATACAAAGTTGAAAGTATAAAAAAAAAAGATGTCTGCCCTTTTTTTATAGTGCTTCAAATAAGTGTTCATACTCTTGAGCTGTCAAAGATTTAATATATCGGAAACCATAAATCTTAGTGTGTTACATTGGAATTTAATGTGATAGAACAATAAAAACATGATATCATTGTACAGGCGAAGTGAAAATAGAGATGAATCAATATTTAAAGCAGTCACAGCTGGAGGGTTAGGGTTATTTATTTATTTGCAAAGAGAAACTCTGTCTGATTGGATGATGAATAAACGGCAGCCTTTCCACAGATCCTCAGTGTGTCTCAGGACTTTGACTCGGCCATTAAAATGCTTTGTCTCAGCTGTTCCACTGCAGCTCAGACTTTTTGTACTGGTGTTTTTTTTTTTTTGGTTCTGCTAGAAAATAAACCTCTGATGCAGATGTGTAGCTTTTCTTAGCACAGACAGGTTTGCTTCCAGCAGTGCCCTGTATAAACCTACGTTTGTTTTCAGCTTTGCTGTCATGTTAGTGAAAAGCAGTCACACCAACATGCTGCTGTCATATTCCTCTATAGAAGCAGGATGTTTTCAGGGCGATCTGCAGTCTTTAGTTTTTTTTGACACTCAAATTTTGCTTGTAGGCCAAAAGCTAGCTCCTTCCTATGTTTGCTGAGATCTCTTTAACTGCAAGCCTTACTGATTTATTTCAGCAATGGCTTCCTTCCTACTCTTGTTTTATAGCTGGATTAGTAAAGCATCACTATTTCATAGTTTGGCTGTGAGCAGATTATTCCACTAGAGCTAAGGATCTTTGCAGCTCCTCCGCAGAGATAATTTGGATGGAATTATTCTTTTCGCGTGTTTTTGTAATTATTGATGTTAATCCATAACTTATAGTTCAAGTGGTGTAAATGTTTTTGCATGGCACTGTTTCTGATTTTTAGAGCTGATCAATATTATTTCTTTCACAATAGTGCAACAGTGGATTATGCATGAGACACTGAAATCACCAGATGAGAGGCGAAATCAAGACTCTGCTGTTCAAACAGACCTGCTCCCTGCTCCTCTTCTGGAAAAGCTTACAAATGAGACGTCCATTGGTCAGAAAAATACCAACATGGAGTTTCCGTCCAAGGTGATGAGGGTCAGGAAGAAAACGGTGCAGGATGAATTACTAAAGCATCATGCGCTTTGCCGCGCCGAGGGACGCATCAGACGGAGAAAACTGCACTATCAGCTGCAGAAAATCGCCAACAAGCGCCACCTGCTGGATGCTAAGAGGAAGTTACAGCAGCTGGAAAGTAAGCTTCCCCCAGGACCTGACAGCCCACCCTCTCCGGAGATGGGATCTCCCTCAAAGCTAGAGGAAGATTCATCTGTAACACGAAGACACTCTTTTTCACTAGATCTGTTGTCTCGGCTCTACCCTCAGCGCACACCAATCTTTCGGTGGGTATGTTGATTTTTTTATTTCCTTGTTTTAAAATGCATCTATCTTAAATCTTTGTTTTCCTTTTCTTCCATCAATAGGCACTTCCTCAAGAGAAACAAGTCTGTGGAACAATCATTAAATTCATCAACCATGTCTGATTCCAGTAGCAGCAGAAAGTGGGTTTCAGAGGAATGTCTTCCTCGGGGAAGAACCCAAAGTTGTTCTGGCTCTATCTTCACTGGACAAAATCAGAATACAGTAAACATCAGAGAAACAGCTACAGAACCAAAGCCTCAGCCATGTTTGGGGCAACTGGGACGGAAACCTCTGCTGCCAAACCGAGATGTACTGTTTAAGAACAGATTTGATAAGAAATCAGTAGCTTTACTGAAATCACCTGTCAGAACTGTACCGCTCCCTGTGTGCAAAGAAAATCTACAAATATCTAAAACAGAGAAAGGCTTCTCTGACAAAAGCTGTTTTCAGGAAGGAAAAGGATGTTTCCCTGCAGATAGAGATGGACTTAAAATGATCAGCAGATCATCGTCTCATTCTGTTGGACCCAGGATAAAAACTGCTCTTTCAAAAGTTTTTAAAAAACCATCCTCGGCTGTTAAAGGCCGACGAATTCTTAAGCCTCTGGGAAGGATTGCTGGTAAATTTCCTTGGAGGAGAAAGAAGAGCCTGAAGGATTCTTTAAGTCATCAGAATGTAGCTTCCATCAAACAGACCATGTCATGTGAGGAGCTTGACCAGAGAGATCTGTTTGAGATCCACAGACACAGACGCTGGCATAGCACCGAGGGGCTGGTAAACAGGAGGAATGGATGTGCAGAAGGACATCAAGGACTTTTTGGACGACTCAAAGAGCAGGAGGAAGACGGCGAAGGAACGTCAGACTGCGAGAGCCTTTTCTCTGTTGACTCTCTGTCCTCTGCCTACGCAGCAGCTCTAGCTGAGCATTTGACACAGGAAGATCCGGCTCTGAGTGAAGCAGAAAGCAATGACAGTAACATGTCCAGAGATTCCTTAAATTTAGAGAGCAGAAAATTCTCCACGGTCAAAAGACGCAAACAAGCAGCGGTTTCAACTTACTCACAAGTAATAGATTCTACACCTCTGTGTTCTCAGAGCTCTGAAACAGCAGAACCCAGCAGAGATATGTGCCGGTCTCTGAAATCCATCGGAACATCAGCTGAGATATATTTGTCTGATGAAAGCAGGAAGTCCCAGGGTGAGACGTCTTCAGCAGCTAACGGCGTGCACAAATTAATAGATGATTTCAGGAAGTTGCAGACCACTTTGACCAGCAGCTGTGGTGGGAGAGAGCCAAAACACCTGCTGGGTCTCACTGAAGTTTGGTCCTCCGCAGATGTGACAGAAAGCCAGAGCTTTGATTCTCTGCCTCTACCAAGAAAAGTTATGCTCTTTAATGCGGACAATAACAGCAGCAGTCGGAGTCGAGTTAGTGGGAATCCGCCAACCCCACAGAGTCACTGCAGACATTTTAGGTCGGAGGTTTTAAATAGTTCAGAGCTCGATCAGTGCCCTGAAGGGACAAGAGAGTCTGAAAGTATTGCAGCCTCAGAAGGTATCTTGACATCAAATAACCGTGATAGCTTCCCGATGGATCACTTTGAGCAAATTAACACAAGATCCTTTAATGCACCTCGAGATTCTGTGCTTCCTTTGAAACAAACTGATTACATGTCACAGAAAGACATTCTCCAATCAAAATCAGATGTAGCAGAGGCAGTGGTTGGTTTCCCTGCAGCATGTGGCTCAGCTTTTCCATCATTAGCAGGGCTGAACCAAACACCTGATCCTTTCAGTCTGCTTCAGCCTTTTAGCAAAGAAGCTGAAAATGGTCGGGATTTGCAGCTGAATAATTTTAGCAGCACAGAAGGCGGTTCAGTTAAATGGGAGGAAACCAAAAGCAACGAGCTGCTGTTCATTGCTCCCCAGCAGGAAGTTGTTAAATTGGCCTTTAAAAATTCCAGGAAGAGGAACAAAGACCATCAGACCGCTTTTATGGGCTGCTTGAAAATTCCTAAAAGGAGCGACGGCGAGGAGTTGGAAACTTTCTCTGCACCAGGTGACAGCTTGGACGGTGTTTGGTCCGACAGCGACGCTGAAAACAGCAGGGACTCCAAAGGGGAGATTGAAAGCCAAGGATTTCTGTCTTTCTGTGTTGATGGCAGCGACGGGCGAGCATCAGCTGTTTCAGATTCATCGCCACTTTCTGATCATCAGAGCACTGACCTTGAGCCAAGCGGCCCGATTCTAAAGTCTGAGCAGATTTTGCACTGTGACAGAACTGTTAGCAATAACAAAGTTATAAAAACAGCAGATATAAGAGTAAGTAGAAATGTTGAAGCTTTAGAAAGGGTTAAACGCGACACTCAAAGCGACAGGAAACATCAAGAGAAAACAAAGCACATGTGCAGGTCAGAAGCAATTTGCAGTGCCATTGATCTAAGAATCTCTGAAGTGATAAAAGAGCACATGGAATCACCAGGAGGGATCAGCAAAAGTCACAGTCTGGGTTCTTTGTCATCTCTGGGTCATTTTAGCTTGGATTGTAATAAAAGTAGATGGAAAGATGACCAGCTGAGAGATGAGAGGAAAACTGACATGAAAGACGGAAAAATCTGTGCAGACGTGCATACATTAGTCACAAAGGAGCATTTGGAATCCTATTCGCCTGTAGATCAGAGTACTGGCCTCAAATGTGTAGAAAACCCAAAGGGGAAAAACTCCCTCGCTCGAAAAATAACCGATGAAGCTACATGCAAAGTAACATCCTCCCCTGTTCAGATTCTGATTCAGGATTTTGATGCCGATCTCATTCCTGAACTTAAAGCTCAGCACTCAAATCTGCAGCCTCGGAGATGTATGCATGAAACAGCTTCCTCTTCAAGTTACAATGAGAACCGCTGCTCTCCTGAATCAGACAACGTCAATATTAATCTCATACGTGACGCTGCAAAGACTTACAGTTATTCATCCCTGCAAAACCCGCCACAGATTATTCAGGTAATCCCATCCAACGCTGGTATATCTGCAGCACAAAGCTTAACACATCAGGTAAAATCTGACAAACACATCTGTAACCAGATGACATTTTCTACTGTCCTTGGAGAAAATGTTGAACTCGGCCCCAAGGCGGGAGGCAAACCTATTGCAGCTCAGGATCAGCCCCGTTCTCGGCTAATTTATGCAGAGAACACAGCCTCTGTTGTCAGAATGAATTCAAAGGACGGACGTCCAAATTCCCAGAGCCACTTCAATGAAGGCCATCAAATAAACATCACAGACCTCAGTTTAACCAAAACTGATAAAGGGGTAGAGGCTGTCCGTTTCTACCAAAATGATAAAATACATGTGCGGGAGTTAAACTCCAAAAGTATTTCTCCTGCTGAAGATCTCACTATAACACAGGCTGAATCTTTTGTCTTGTCCAAAGAGGCAGCTGTAAACCCATCAGGTGGCCTAGCTCTTAAGAAGAAAAAAATCAAGACAAAGAGGCTCAGAAAGTGTGATGTCAAAACTCGCCCTTCTTCTTCTTCTGACTCTTCTCTGAAGTCATCAGATGAGGATGATGAGGAGAGGGAAGGAAGACAGAGGTATCATTGCAAGTTGGGATCTACAAGCAAATGTAAGATGGAAATCTTTCAGGAGAATCCTGATGAAAGTAAAGAATTTAACAGACTTTTTATCCCAGCAAGACACTCTTTAACTCCTCACACAGCATCCCAGAGGAACGATGCAGAATTTAGTTGCCAAAACGCCAATCAACATAAATCACACTGCCAGGACTCTCCTATCCATTTCGCATCGAGTGACATCAACCCCTTTGTTCACCAATGGCAACACAGCGATTCAAACCAATACTGCTATAAGACCCCAGTGTTTGGGAGCGCTGCGGACCTTTCCTGTAAATCCCCTCTCCTGAACACCTCTGAGAAACGTATGGTTAGATGCTCCAGTGCTGATAACGATTTGAACGGGCAAAACTCTCCTTTTAACTCCCACCTGAGCACGTACGCCACCAACAAGGGGCTCTCCAGTACACTCAGCAGCATTGAGGATTATAGGGAAAGAATTGGCGAACAACTCGCTGCCAGTCAGGAAGCACCGGTTACTGGTTCCGGTGTTAATTCAAGTCAGGTGGATGAAATCATGCTGGTTTATTCATCTGAACAAGAGTCAAATCCAGGCCAAATGCAGGTGCAAAGGAGAAGGATGAGTGATCATGGTACTCAAACAGAGCCTAGAGTCAACGCAATCAGTATTGCTGGTCTAAAGAGGAAGGATCGCCACAAAAGAAGCAACACTGACGTTCCTTCATCCCAGAGGAACAAAGTGGATATTAAAAAATCCCCAACGTGGGCGAGTATGGAAACCATGTCAGCTCACCTCTCTAAGCTCATCCACAGCACTTCAGACCTGTTGGATGATGTCCAGGGGATGAGGACGGGTGAAGTTAGCAAATCCAGTCCTAGGAGTATCAATGCTTCACAGCCTAACTTATCGTACAGCCATCTAGATGGATGTAGCAAAAAAAATAGCTCAACTCAAACCGCTTTTGGTGTTGGAATCCAGACGGAGGAGCTGCTAGCATCAACAAAACCTAAAGCTGTCATTAATGAAGCAGTTAGAGAGCGGCCTAAATCCTATGAAGTGAAGGTGGTAGTGAAGGTGATCAGTCCTGAAGACAAGAGTTTGCACAGAGTGGTTGAGAAACATGCTAACGGAAGTAAGTCGATGCTGGATCTGAGCTTCAACACCTCTGCCGCTTCCCAGTCAGATGATGATCCTCTCAGATCGTCATGCATAAAGACTGCAGCCGGCTGTCAAACGCACATGAAATCTGCTTTCTCCCAGCCGTCAAAGCACAGCTCTGTCGAGGAACTGGGCCACCGAAACATAGCCGTCACCTCCAAATCGTCAAGAAAGTGCTTCCAAGGCACGTCAGTCAGAAGCAATCCTGCTTTTTTCAAAGAACATCCAACTTTAACAGACCGTGCGTCATCTCCCATTTTTCCCTCAGGAACAAGATCAGATTCAAGGCTGAGAAGAAAACACTCAATCCATTGTCAGCTAAAACATAAAAATCCACAAACAGGCCATCCCTCCAAGGAGGATGCGCTTTCCTCTGCTAAGACTACTACACAGGATTTAGATTATTTTCCCACTAAGCCAGAAACAATATCACTTGAGAGGCTCAGTGAAAGCAGTAGTTCAATTCCTCATGACTTAGGCAAGAGCTCCTCAAGCCTTAGATCATCACTGGGTACGTACACAGACCTTGAGAAGAGAAACATGAGCTGCAAGCAAGGAGACATTCATGGGGCTAGCTTAGAGTGGCCCAGTCACATTTTCCGTACCTTTAGAGAGGCTCATGTGCCTGGGCAGCAAGAATATGACTATACAGGTACTTCGACAGATTTCTGCATCGACACAGAGCATCCAATACCTTCTAGTGACAGTAGGAACCATTTGAAAGAGGATGACATGGTATCTCTGGCACAGAGCGAGTGCAGCACAGAAGTTCTTGTGAACACCGAAGTCGCCTCAACTGTCTCTCCTTGGGACGATCATCATAGAGTCCCGGACGACCTGCCCTTGCACAACAAGTTCACCAACTGGTCAGGCGTCAGTCAGAATGGACAATCACAACGCTCAAACAAAATGACAAAAACGACGCCTACCAAAGACTACAGAGGCTATGCTGAATGGGACAAGATGGAGAGCACGGATTCAAACCTGGAGGCACACAGCGACAGAAGATCGCTAGAGATACAGAAGCTGCGGGAGGAAAGAGAGCGGGTGATGGCCACTGTCAGCCTCAGTACGAGCCTGACACCTCTGACCGTGGAGCTGACGGAGGCGAAGCTGCATTATGGGCTGGGAGAGACGGACGCGCTGTTAAAGATGCTGTCCCCAAGGTCCAAAGAGGAGCTGCAGCCGCTGACTTCATCTGCAACCAAGCAACAGCTGTATGACAGGTGAGGACCAAGAAACACCCGTTTAGGTAGAGAGCAATGACTTACAGTGATCTCCTAAGGTATCCATGCTGCATGGACCGGTTTATACATTCACTTTTAATAGACGTTATGAAGGTGAAGTGAAATAATAATGGTTTTAAACAGTAATTTCAATCTGAAAGGTTTGATACACCTGAATACAAATTTAAATTTAGAGTAAACTAAATTAATAATGGAGCCCGCACATATGTACGAATGTCCAGGAAAATGGCAGAAATATCAGGGATTCGTATTAAGCATTTATAAGATCAATTTAGCTGTCCCTATTTGGAAACTCTGCATGCCAACATGAACTTTTCTACTGTTAAATGTGGCAGCATCATGCTTTTGGGAGGATTTTCTCCAGCAAGAACAATACTAGAGCCTAAGTGCAAATGCATGGCTCAGACTATTGTTTCCAGATAAATTTGCAAACCATTGTTCATTCTCTTTTGATCTTATAAAATGCATTGCTTTGTGTCCTTCCTGATAAGAGGGGAGAAAGTTCCAGGTTGGAAAACTTCTCCAATTTGTGAACTAAAACGTTACTCTTGGCTCCACTGTGTTATAACCATTATGTGATATGCTAACCTCTTGTTTTGATGCGTGACATCCTGCACCGCTTACATCCACCCACACATTTAGGGAACGCGGTAAAATCTGTGCTGCAGATTCAGCTCAGACATGTTCTTTATCCTTAAAGCACTTTAATTTCCTGATCCTCTCAGGCACCGCCGGAGCATTGATGCTTTAAGGCGGGAGAGGGAGGAGCACCTCCAGACTTATCGAAGAGCTCGCAGTCTGAGCCCCGGCAAACATCCCCCTCCACGAGGATCCATACCCACATGCAGCAGCAGCAAGGCAGACCACCAACTACAGCGCCGAGAAGTCGTAGACAGCACAAGGTGTGCACTTTAAAGCCTTAATAGAATAACTCATTTGTCTGTTGAGATGAGCACATCTGTTTTTAAGTTAACTTATATAGCTTTAAGTAATGCATCTAGAGAAAATGGAATTAGTTTTTAAGAAAATCATCTGTGTGACAGTTTTCCAGATCCCCTAAGAGTAGAAGGACAGCATCCACCTGACATTGAGCAGCTGCTGCGGGACTATAGCCGAGCCCGAGAGGAAGCCAGGACAGAGATCGCTAAGGCGCGGGAGCGGCTGAGAGAGAGGACCGAGCTGGAGAAACAGAGGATACAGAAGCAGACTCTCTCCCAGGGAATAAAGGTCAGTTTTCATGTCCTGACTGGCAGGATCATAATTAACGTCCTCCTGGTGTAATATGACAGTGTGGTCATTAGCTGAACACAGCAGCCAAAGATTCCTTTAGTAATGTTGGAAGCCTGCGAGAAGCTTCACTGTGGATAATGACATTTATCTCTATACTAATGATCACATTTAAATTGTGATTTCATACTTTTTTAGTTTCTTACCATAATCCTGCAAAGCCCATCTGTCCAAATTGTTTGATTTAGACTGAAGCAGATTGTTAAAACTTTGATAATAAATTGAATCGATGTTTGTCAGATTTTGTGGGATTCATGAAAACCGTAAAATGTTTGCTGGATTTTCTCAGGATGACCTGAAGCATCGGACAATGATCAGCAACAGCACTTTGTGCACCGGCTCCAGTCTGAGTCTGTCCTCTGGACCAACGTCTGGATACAACAGCGGCAACACCACTCAACCACAGCCTTTCAACAGGCCGCTGTTCAATCAACAGGTTGCACAAATTCCTTTTTAGAAGTTGTCGATCCTTGTTGTTGTTGTATTTTTTTACTGTAATATATAAAACTGGGACATGTTTTTTTTGTGTGTTTTCTGTTGACAGATTGTTGGGGTCCAAGGCGAGGGACTGAGGCTTAGGACACGTCCTCCTGTCTGTGGTTTTCAGAGTGTGAAATCAAAGAAAACATGGCTGTCAGCTCAGGGTAACTACGTTCTCTCCAGACAGATTTAGCCTGGGTTGTATTTTCATTTTCTCCTACGTTTTCTCTTGTCTTATATTTCTGTTTGCCATGATTGTGTTTTATCAGATGTACGGCTTGAGCTTCCCGTTAGCAGCTTTGAGCCATTGATGACTTCTTCTCCGTCGCCACCTGTTCCTGTACGGCAGCGCGCCGCCTCCTTTGGCTCTGCCTCTTCCATATCTACAGCGTACCGTGACATCACTTCCACCCTCATCAGCCAGGCTCTGGCTGAGGTAGTTAAAAGAAAATATATTTTGATTTGTTTACATTTTTTTTCTGCTTATACGATACTGTACATCACAATTTCTTTATAAAGAATCCGATCTGATGGTAATTTTTAAAGTAATATATATTTTAAAAAATAAAATATTTTTCTGAGCTTCTTAGAAGCCTACAAAATAGAACCTTTGCTACTGTTGAATTTGTTTTACTTTCCAAATGTGTCTCTAGTTTTTTTCCCTCAAACAAAGCTTCTTATTTTTCTTATAGAATTTACTGACTGACAACTGATAGAGGAATGATTGTGTGTAAAAATTGTACTGGATGCATTAAGCTATTAGAGCCAGATTTCACTTCTTCCAATTGTCCCTATTTAAAGATACAGTGGAGGATGTTCTTTTTACGGGTGGATCATCAAAATAAGTGGTCCTCCTAACTGTCAATCATTCTGGTGATATATTTATGTAATGCTGTCCTACCTGCTCATTTCTTTTTTTACCTAACCCTACATCTGGCTGCCGACCATGACCTGCCCTCTTGTACTCAGATAAGAAAATTGATCAACATATGAACGAAAAAGGAACTTTTAATCATATTTTTAATGTTTTCATATTTCATATGCATGGATGCTCTAAAATTAACAGTTTTGGGGGACAGATAAATTCAAATGAATACAATTTTTACTACGTATGGAGACAAGTTTTAGTTGATGTGTTACAGTCAGTGTCCGATAAATATATTCTCTGCTTAGTGGTTGCATTTCCCTCTTTTGCCAACAACATCAGTCTATATCATTTGTGATATAGAATAGTGTTTAAAACTAGCAGGGTTCCCGCGGGTCCTTAAAAAGTCTTAAAAGGCATTGAATTCCTCAAAATAAAACTAAGGCCTTAATTAGTATTAAAATGTCTTAAATCAGTCTTTTGTAGGTCTTAATTTTTTTTATATAAAAAAAAAATGGCCCGCCATTACTGGTTCCGTCCCGATAGCGGAACCAATAAAAGCGTTGTCGCGGCCGGGACATTTGGGAGATGCACAATTAACTTTTTGCCTGGAAAACATGAGCAAGTGTAAATGTAACCAAAATTGTCTCCAGCCAAGAGTTTTCTCCATGGCTAAAACCAGGAACATACATGAGGCTCAGTGGATTTAGTGCAAGAAGTCATTCAAGCTCGAAACGATGGGAATTAAGGCAGTTGAGTCGT